AAGACTCACGTCTCGGAACATGGACGTCGAAGAAGAAACACGAATCTCGATCGCGGCCGCAGTTGCGTTATGCCCACTGCAGTATGCAACTCCGAAGTCATTAAATCGTACACGGCGATGATGTTCTTGGTACAGCGGCGCGCCTTCCCGCAGAAGGCCAGGCCCGCTGAGGAGCAGAGGAGGAAGGAGCAACCCGTTGGCCGTTACAAAAAGCGGACACTGCGATCGGAAGGTTCCACTTTTCTCCTGCTGGGGGTCTGGAATTTATTTGGGCCCCCGTTTGGGACCTCGCCTCTCTGCTAGCGGCTTTTTCACTGTCCCCAGTTTAGCTGGTTTTGCGTTTTGACGAACGGAAGCGGTTGAACGTTGGCAGCGGTTATCATCGACGACGAACGACACACGACACGAACGCCGCCAGTCCCCCTGCACACATGGATCTGATGACTGTTCGTGCATGAACACACGGACAAGGCTGTGTTTTTTGCTCGGCACAACCGATCGCATCACGTCGTTGCTGGGAGCTGGCCTTGTTTTCGAGCTGTTTTCGCCATCTCCGAGACGAGTTGGTCCTTGCGCCCTCTCTACTCCCCTGTTTCTCATTTCTCATTTCTCATTTGTTTTGTGTTAGCAAATGCGTGGAAGTAGGCATCCAAACGACGGTCCCATTGCCTAATCGAGGCGGACGACAACTCGCATTGACGACTGAAGAAACTGAAATCTCCGGGAACGGCCCTGGACAGGAAAAGAAGCAACAAGACCGGCGAATGTGAGGCGTTGCGAGGCTCGCTTCGAACTCATCTCAGGGGTTGTGCCTAGTCGTGGTTCGTAGGCCAGAGCACGCACCAACAACAGACAGGCAAAGCAAACCAAGTAACGCCGGGACATCGTCACCAGGGGCTGGGAACGGACCACTCTTGAGCACGTTTTTTTTATTAATATTATTATTTTCTGACGCGCTGTTCTTTACTATCACCGCCCCATCGCCGTCACACTAAACGCACTTGACGCTCAGGCAAAACAGCTATCCTCAAGCGGCGAGCCCGGTCCAGCGCCGAGAATGCAGCCCAGCGACAGGGCAGGAAACAAAGGCATAGCAGATAGTCTGCGGCCGTCAAACCCGGTTGATCTTGAGGCCAGCGTGGACGACGCCTCGCTTTATGAACAGACGCACGTTCACGAAGTGTACGATGCCATTGCAGACCATTTCTCGGCCACACGCTACGCACCCTGGCCGTTGGTAGCTCAGTTTCTTGCCCGCCAGCCGGCTGGCTCCATCGGTCTCGATGTCGGCTGTGGCAACGGCAAGTACCTGACTGGTGCATCCAGCGCACCGCCGCCGTCGCCGTCATTGCCACCACCGATTCCTGGCACACCCCAGCGCTTCATCCTGGGGAGTGATAGGAGCGCCGCCCTAGCCACGTTGGCGTACGAGAAACACGCCCACCACCGCGTAGGTGCTGATGTGCTGCTGGCCGACTCCCTGGCACTGCCCTTTCGTGACCGCTGTGCGGATTTCATCATCTGCATAGCCGTGGTGCACCACCTGTCGACGCGGGAACGGCGCCAGGCCGCTGTGAAAGAGCTGCTACGGTGTGTGCGGCAGCGAGACGTGCAGCAGGACCCGGCGCAGCAGCGAGAACCGCAGCAGCGACAGCCGCAGCCGCCGGCAACAAGTTCCACCACTCCCGGCACCCCTGCCCCCTCTTTTTGGCCCCCCTCGCCCTCCCCCACCGCACCTTCCTCGACGGCCTCCTCTGCTTCGTCCTCACTATCAGTCTCTCGGTCCGGCCGTGTGCTCATCTACGTATGGGCCCTGGAGCAGGCGACGAGTCGACGAGGTTGGACCGCAGGCGGCGAGCAGGACCTGCTTGTGCCGTGGGTCAAGACGATGCGGGATAAGAACCAGAGCAAGGGCAAGGGCAAGGGCGGCAAGAAGATGCACGAGGAGAAGGAGCAGCAGGCAGGGGTCGACAACAGAGACGAACAGGGGGGGACGAAGGATCGAGAGGCCCAACAGCCCCATGTGCCGCCGACGTTCCACCGCTACTATCATCTCTACAAACAGGGCGAACTGGAGGACGACGTGGCAGCTGCTGGCGGCCACGTAGTGGCGTGCGGATATGAAAAAGACAACTGGTGGGTGGTGGCCGATCCGTTATGACACTTGGGCTAGATGCCCCCCCCTTTTTATCCTGTTCTGGTGCAGGGCATGATGGGGGTGGGAGTGAGTGGTGGGCTGTGGTTCGTTGTCATGCCTTGGCAACAAGATTATATCACTGTGGCTCAATGCAAGACGAATGTGCAGATAAAGTGCAACCAGCCTGCATAGACCGACGACATTGCATTGTTTTAGGAACAGGATACGAAAGCGGACGCAAAAAAATATAAAAAATAATAATAATAAAAAATGTAGGAGGCACGAGGAAAGCCAATAAGCTAAACGAGAGGCTTGGCTGGTTGGTTTGTTTTCTGACACTGCTCTCTGATACTCCTTGGGCCTCTAGCCTCTGTCAACGGTTCCCTCTTTTACTATTTGAAGTACTGTCTCTGGAGAAGGGCCAGCCTTGGGCGCACTTGTATGGCGGCGATTCAGCTATCGTCGCTTGAGGTATATCAGTCTACTTATGCATAGTGTTATGGTCCAAGCTGCAACAAACGCCATGTCATCACGCATACTCCAGTTCGATACCTCTATTTTGAACACGAACTGTGTCTTCCAGTTATGTGCTAATGTATGTCTCTACGTGTGAATGGTGCAGGGCGGCAAAGTAGCGAGAAATTGGGAAAGAGTGACGACACGACTACAAGGAAGGAAATAAGATAGGCGACGAACTACGATTTACTTCCCAATACAGGAGCCAACAGCGAAGCTTCATTTCCTCCCCCTATCCATGATACCGTCCTCCGTTTTTGACATGTTGGTACAATGTGCCTGCGCGGCTTCCAGATGCATAACGTCAAAGATGCGTTGGAAGGCCGTGAAGAAGAAAGGAAACGAGAGAAAGCATGGGGGGAAGCAGCAAGCCGAAGCGAGGCAGCCCTCCCGACTGTCCTGCTCGCTTGGTTGTATATATGTAGCCAAGACCCGTCTGGAGATGCTGGTTTGGGTCTCATACCGCATTTTCCGCCTGTGATCCGTGGCTTCCATTTGTTCGTTTCCAAGTAACAAAACGATCTAACAAAACGATCTGACACGCGTATATTGACTATGGGCATGAAAATAAAATGCAATGCAATACAATAAAATAGAATAAAGACCACAGAGCAGGCGTGCAGCCGACATGGCGATATTCAAATACCGCACTATTTGTGTCCACCTGCAAACGGTCGCATAGTCATGCAGAAGCCAGGAGCTTCGTAAAATGTACATTTTCGCCCAAAAAAAGCAGATATACTTCGTCTCGCGAACTCAACAGGACAGCGAAAATAAGTCTTCACACACCCCTATATCTGACTGCGATATAGCTCTCTTGTCAATAGATCAACTCGATTATTACTCTTTTTGTTGTCTACTGAGTCCCCTTTTTTTTATTTGTCTTCTTTTCGTTTAGTTCCTCTTGCTCTTGCATATTCCTTCATCCTTCATATTCTTTTTGTTTCCGCAGTAGTTGTTGTCCACTTTCAGCGGCTATGCTCTTCCTACACCGTCACTTGCTTTTTTTTTTTGCTACAGCTCGTGGTATTTTTTTCATATTTTTCAGCCTTACTAGTACCTGGAGGTTGAGGGGTTGGAGAAGAGGGAGGGGGCACGGCGGCGTTCAGCTTTTGATGTTTAATGCTTTCTTTTTGGATTTTCTTTTTCACCCACATACCCTGTCCTAAACCGAACGCTCGGCGCAATTTTTTCAGCTTCATCCCACCTACAAATTTTAGTTGTGCAGAGGTGTTTTGCTAGAATGGTTGCCTGATACTCAAGACTGCATTCCTGAATTCATTTTTCCGTCTCTCTGTGTTCTTTAAAAATAAAACAAGAAAACAAAAGAAAGGCGGAAAGGGACAGACGGTCGCTCAGCTGAAAATAGCTGCAAGACAAGGCGGAATCCCAGCAGTATGCTATCGTGTACGGAAGAGGAAGTGAATAAACGGTCCTTGGTTTTCTTTTTTGTTATGCTCGGGATAAATCGTTATACGTTGGTCGAAAACTAAAACGAGATGTACTAGCAGTGTAGACGACACGTCTCGAACAAATAATTGGAACAGCAGGGGATATAAAAAACGCTATAATAGGACGAAATGTATCGGCAGTCGTCGGCCGTCCTTCCAGGATACCATTATCATAACGAAAACAAAGTAGGAGAAAAACAGTAGCAAGGTCAATGCAAAGGCCGTTGGAACATAATCGTCGCTTCGCCTCCAATACAGAGCCACAGTACTGAGAAAGAAAGTATCTTGGCCGGCTAACAAAACAACGGAAAACGAAGGGGAATAAGAAAGGAGGTCAATGAAGGTCGAGGGCAGAGAAATCAAACGCAAATAAGAACAAGACTGCAAAAGAAAACAAAAGAACAGAAATCAAAGCAACTTAAGAAAACAATACCTGGAAATGTAGACCGCTTCTAGAGCCCGCTTCGAACACCTATTCCCACACTTGCCATGTATATGGCATTCGTTTTTGTGTATGCACCCCAAATCCTGTTCGCTATCAGAAGGCCCCGACCTTTATCGTTCACCCGCCTGACTCCAGCTCATGCCCTGCTTTTGCTCTAGATAAAGATAGACAGAGAAAAGAGAAAGAACAAAACAAAACAGCAGAAACAAATGACACTGTACTTCCTGGCGCATGCCCCTTGGGCTCTGTGACGGAGAGATGATGCAAACGCACGTCTATGGCCGATTTCGCAATAAACAAAACAGACCCATGCAATTGGCCAGATGCTGCGCCTGTAACCTTGCCAAATTGTTGTGGTCCCAAACAAGTTGAGATGAAAAACAAGAGACGAAACAAAAAAAACGAGAAGGAAAAGTGAAAGGAAAGTCGTCAAGTCATTAATCGCTTGCTTTCACCCTCTGTGAATGCCACTGTCAGGGGGACCCCCACCCCGGCCATCGTCGTACCGGGGCGACTGGAGGTATCGTCTGCGGTGATCGCGTGGCTCAAAGTTGGGACTAGCACGGCGCTTCCCAGCAGCCCCAGCGGACGTCGGAGGCTCCGGGCCTGGGCCAGCCCAATAGCCTCCTGTCGTATAACCGGACAAGCCATGACCAGAGCCTGGCCCGGGGCTGTCCGTATTGCTTGGAGCAGGGCTGGCTCCAAGGGAATAGGCTGGCGTGCTGTATGGGCTGACCCCAGTCGTAATCTCCGCAAAACTGGGCAACGTGCCGCTGCCGCCTGATCGTTCTTGTTGCTGCAAAGGGGGCGGTCCAACACCTGTTTGAATCGGCGGCAGTCCGGGACCCGCATGTTGTTGTTGTTGTTGTGGATGGTGTTGGTGGTAATGATACATGGCATTGGCAGGATCAGATGGCCCGCCGCCAAACGAACCACCACCACGGACTGGTGTGCCGCCTCGTTCGCGCCGCCCAGACGACCCAAAGCCGCGACCCGAGCTGCTGCTGCTCCCTCCGAGGCCAGTGACAAGGCGGTCGGCATGCATGGACATGGGTGGAGGTGGCGGTAAGGGTATTGAAGGGTTGCTACCGCTACCGCGTCCATACCGAGGTGAGAGCGCACCGCTGCTGATGCTACCCCCGGCACTGCCCGTGTCTGTTCGGAAACCGCCCTGTGAGTGGTGATGAGCGATGGCTAGCGGATGTTGCTGGTAGGACATCTGAGACGGCGACTGGTGGTGGTGTCCAGGAGTGGATGTTTCGACAGTGGTTGCCGTCAGGGAGAAAGGAGTAACACCTGCCCGCCGCGCCATGTCAGCCTCTCCTAGTTGCCAATGCATGGCCTCTGCTGCACGCCAGGGCACTTGCATCTCTTCAGCCACTTTCGCCCACATGTCGGGTTTGAATCTAAAACTCCGCGGTTAGTTCGTGTCTGTAAGCCCACAATATTCCCTTTTTCCGGCTCACCTTTCGTAGAGCCTTGCTAGCTTGTTCTTCCTCTCTTCGTCCCACTCGCTCCGCCGTTCGAGATAGTTCTGGTAATGTAGTCTGCAGCTGATGGCACTGCGTCCGGGTAGCCGTTTCGAGATGTCTTCCCATTTCATGCCGCTGCCTCGCAGCTCGATGATCAATGCGTCCTCTTCTGCCGACCATTTGCTCTGCTTCTTCGCGGGGCTGTCTATTGTGTAAGGTGGCATGCTTCGCTTTGCTACTCTAGCCGCGGACAGACCTGGCCCCCCCTTCGGTGGTGCGGTTTGACCAGTAAAGGAGGGGAGTGGAGCTGGAGGAAGTGAGACTTGTACCGCTTCTGCTGTTGTCACCGGAACTGATACTGTGAAAGGAGGAAATGGGTGGCTTCCCGGAGCCGAGGCTGGCGACGGTGTAGACGAGACTGCGGAGGCCGACTGAAAGGACTGCGGAGGTGGAAGCGAAGAGGATCGTGGTTGGTCTTGGTTTGCTTGAAAGAGGTACTGCACAGGTAGCAGCGCAGTTGGCACTTGAGACTGTTGCTGGTCTCGTAGTCGCTGTGATGGAGGCAGTGGTGTCTGCTCCTGTGTTTGCTGTAGTTCGTTCTGTTGTTGGGTTGGTGACACGCGAGACTCTTTAGAGTCAGAACGTTGGAGAAGGGAAGTGATATCCACGGTGGCTGTCTCTGCTCGGGGAATGGCACTGGATGGCCGAGAACACGAGTCCTGACGATGGGGCGGCGGGCACCCGCCACCGCCTTCTGGATGATCGAGCGTGGACAAGCGCTCGTGGTCTGCGCTGCTTGCTAGGTGGAAGGACGGACGACTCTGTCGATGTAGAGTATCAGAGCACCAAAGATGTGTGTTCTTTGGTTCGCTACTGTTTCTTCGAGCCCAAAGTCTCGGTGACCTGCTCGAGCGACACTCTGGCTGGTGCTGGTGGAGCGAAAAGCCAGATGGCCTGGGCAGCTGGCTGCGTCCACCGTCGACGGCAACGTCGTCCGCTTGAAAAGATACGGCGAGAGCCAACGCGGCGGTATGCTATTGTCGCTGTCTTTGTGAATATTGTCGCTGTCCGCTGCGTTGTAGTGATTTCTGACAGGCGAGACGTATTGTTTCGGATAGGCAGCCTGTCCCGCTGAACTATTTTGAGACTTCTAGAACTATGCAACTATACATAGAAGCCGTGCCGAGGGTCTCGCACGGTATAGCAGAGCCGTGTTGATGATTCGAAAGTGGAAAGAGGAGTTACGATAGAAGTTGTTCGAGTGTCTGCCGTGGTAAAGAGTGTGGTAATTGCTCCAGGGTCTCGACACGGCAAAATTGAATATTGAAAGTACTGCGGTCGGGGGGGGGAATAAGATAATTACGGGAGGGCTTTGTTAAGTATTTGTAAAGAGGGGGGGAGTAATGAATGCAGTGTTTGAATTTTTAGTGAAAGGTACCCTCCGCGTTCGTCCAGTCGTGTTGGCAAAGACGGTGTACTCTAGTAAGAGACGAGAATATTGACATGGCCTCTTGATTGGTGCCCTTTTAGTTTCTCTCTGCCAATCGAGAGCAATAATAGGCAACTGTTGTTGAGAGTGTTAAGACCGACTATCGTCTAGTCGTCCCCTTGATGATGTTGCTGAGAGGTACTTGTTCGATGATGTATTCGTGTAGATTTGTTTGTAGAGGTACCAGGTAAGAGAGCGAAGTAGTTTGAAGAGTTCGACCGAGTCAATAGCCAAGGACATGGAGAGAAAGCTCGACGATGCGGTCGAGTGGCTTGATCAGCCAAAGGAAGAAACGGAGAAAGGACAAGAAGTTGGAGAATTAAAGATTAATGTGACTTTATAATTAATGAATTTGGATATGTTAGAATTGTGAGACGAAGAGAGGAGGGAGAGCAAGAATGGAAAGTAAACGGAACGCGATAATGGGCGTCTGAGAGAGTTCTTAAATTATAAAATGAAAAGTTTGAACTTGAAAGCCAACAACGTTGGGATGTTGAGGTATGTATGTCTGCGAGATGGGGAAAGGGGGAGGGGGGTGGAAAAGTTTTCTTGGGATAATAAACTAGAGGGGGTGTAGGTAGCAGCCTGAGGGTGCCAGACGATCTCTGGTCACAATGTGTCGTAGGGGGGATCTTGGAAACAGTGCTGTTGAAAACTCAAATAAGTGGAAAGAGAAGAGCCACCAGATTGCGTACTTTTGCGTTGTGTACGGAGAAGACGATGGTGTATATTTGGTACCTGGATGCCCGTTGGGCTGCTTGCCAGGGCCAGGAACAAGACCATGCAACGAAAGACGGGGGGAGGGGGGTAGCTTGTGGGTGCCAAGAAGGAAACAAAAGCGCGTATATATGTGTCTTAAGCAGAATAGACAGGAGAGACAATGTTTAAGCGGTCATAGATATTAGGACCTGGTAAGATTCCTTCGTCTCGAGTGCTGAGGCCATTCCCTGGCAATATGGTGACCTATAATAGGCTCGTCTAAGACTGACCTGCACTGAGAGTGTGATATGCTGGGTTGAAAAGGCAAGTGTTCAGAGGGCACAAGTACCATTGCCGAGACGTTCGTTTGCAACGGCCATTCTCGGTACTAGGACAAAATGGGCATCTTGTCGTCACACCCGGGGGGGACGGGGAGACTAGGCTGTGGTGGGATCGGGGCCTAGATAAAGTTAGGGTTCCCACTCTAGGACGAATGCCGTTTCGACCGTTCACCGTTTTCGTGCGATGACGTTACAGCTTGCCTCCAGGGCAAAGAGATAAACAAAGTTACTTGTTTCAAAGAAAGCTTGCACAGTGGAAGAGACGGAATTTGACGTTGAGATCGACTTGGCAGGATTTGGTGTACTGCGCAATTCGGCAGCCTCGTTTGCGCGACTGTCTATGATATGGTCTTGTTGCTCGTAGTCATCTCTTTTCCTCCTTGTGCTTCTTAACTGTCAAAAGAGGACGAGGCTTCGAATAATCAAGGAGGGAACTCACGGCGAAGGCGTTGGCGCAAAGGAGTGGAAGGATATTACCGATAAAACTTTAGGGTAGCCGAGTTAAGTGTATCGAGAACCACCGTCTTAGAACCGCTAATATCCATACACCTTGCCCGAGAACTGAACCAAAGCGTTGTCTTTCTGGAAAGCGCAATCTCCTTTTTTTTATTTTGTCTGTGCAGCCCAACTCTTTTTGCAAGCGAATAGATCCGAAATGGAACGCAATGGACTTTGCCCACCATCAACAAATAATGCATTAAAAACGGTTACAAAGAACTCACTAATGAGACGATCTGTTGTAACGGTGCAAAGCCAGTAGGGTAAGCAAGAAAGGGCAGTAACATGGTATAAATGTCATAAAGCGAGTGGATTTGTATGCAGAAAAGAAAGCATGACAGAATGGTTGACTTTTCAATGCTGGTGTAATAACATGGACACGAAAAGGCCAAGGACTTTCGGGGCTGTAAAGAGAGCGGCCGAGCGTGCCATTGTGACTTGCTTAGGTGAGGGAAAGAGAAGCGAGAACAAAGCTCCAACATGTGGAAAGTGTGAAGTGAACAATACAGAAAAGAAACCCAAGAAAGTCAACGACAGACAGTAGCCACATTGGGTACTGCCGCGGCCTCCAGTACAACTAGGCCCCACACTGTTCAATTAAAAAAAAAAAAAAAAAAACTGGTCGACGACGAAGGGGGTGAGGTGTGGGTGGGTAAATGGGCATGAATGCTGGGGCAGCCGCGGCGATCGGAAACCGGGGTTCTGTAGTTGAAAGCAGTGATGCCATTAGGAGCGAGAGGCGGCGAGAACTCGAACAAGGTTTATGTGTGCACTTGTGTGAACAGCCCTTGGCGAGGGCAGCGGCAAACCTCCGCATCCTGTTCGCATGACTTAGAAACCTGTCCCTTGTTCATCCTTCGACTTGGTGTCCTTGTGCTTTGGATGCGGTGTGCTTCGTACAGGTGCAACTATAGTGTGCTTCGAGCAACTTTGAGGCGAGATGTACTGCTGCAACCCAACTGAAAATACTTCTTCGATTTGGAAGACAAGAGAAGCATGCACTTAAATGGGTGCGAACAAGGACGAGACGAGGATGAGGGAATGGAAACACTAACCATGACAGGGTTCAGGGGTTCAGGGGCATTTAGGTCGAAAATCAGAGAAGGCACGGCAAGAAATTAAGACAATGGAACATTGCAGGAGAGCAAAAACATTAAAAAAATTGAAAAATAAAGAAAAGATAAAAAATTAAGAAAAGAAAGTCAATGCATCACGATCTTAGCAAAATTAACCGTACACTGGCAAGGACCGCTTTGGAGGGTTGAAGAACTTGAACCCACTGTGTGCATGACTTAGAAGAGGACGGATAAAGTCATAGAGTGTAATAACCAACAGAGCATCAACAAAGCCGTCGATTGTGTATATGCTGTGTATCGGCCAAAGAGGGTGAGAGGATGCAATTGCATATCAAAGCATCAAACGCCGAAGGCTGCCGAAAGGGAGGGTGGTAGGGGTGACTGCCGACAAGGGTATGTCACTGGAAAAGACAACGCAGGGTGCATTTCTGTTGTAACCAGTCGGACAATTCAGAAAACCAGGAACCGGGGTCCACAGTCATCTGCGAACAGACTCGTACGGTTCGGCTTGCGTATGCATGTCCAATACGACATTCATACGGAGCGCTGATGGGATTTGGAAGCAGAAGGGGGTCAGTCTGGGCGTCGAAAGTGGCGCTGCGTGTTGAAGCAAAACAGGCACGACGCAAAATCGGGCAACATAGACAAGACAGGTAAAAAAACCGAGAGATCCACGATGTGCGGAGTGACACGTCGCAACATTGAAAGGATAAAGACAATGGTGCAACCGCTCCGAATAAAGACGAAGCAAGACGAGACGATGTCGAGAACGCCGACACAGGAAAACGATGCAGACCGGATATTGCCAGAACTTCCCAAACAGAGATGCATAAAGAACAGCAAGTCGGCAAAAGCAGCATGCGAAATAGACTCAATCTTTGTGAAAAGGCATGCAGGGGCGGGAAGTGGAAGATCTTCATTGCCACCTTTGCATTGCTGGTCCAGCTCAGTGTGAAACCGATTCGCCGAATGCCTGGATACTGGAGATACCAAGCAACCGAGATATGTGTTGGGACGGGGTCACGCCTCAAGAAACAGAAAGAGGCCTGAGAAGGCCTGCGAGACTCGCATCTGCATTCGCACGGCCGCTTTTGGCACGGTCGCCGTTAGACGGATGATCTGTTCTTTCTTGTGTGGTCTTGGCTCTCTCCGCTGGGTTTGTTTTGTTGCCCTTTGCGTGTGCGCTGCTGGAGATGGGGTCGACTCCATGTGCCATGCCTGGACCAGTCCTCCCCTTTCGTGTCAGTCAGAACCATACTCGAACTTGTTGTGGTTGGCAGCCCGATTCGTCAAGTAAACAGAGGTCCTAGTACGCTGTGAAATAAGGGGGGGAAACAAAAAGGGATGGAGATATGGAGGTTTGGACGCGACCTGGTCTGCGGAGAATATTGGTCCTCAAGTAAGATACGACGTCCGATGTTCGTTTTAGGAAACAGCTCGAAGAACAAAGAAGGAAAGAGGCGTGGACGGTTTCTCCATTTAGGAGGGAAGGAGAGAAGCTGTTCCGTCATTGCAGTTTCCCCAACTGTTGTGGGCCTTCATGTAAGTCCCCATGTAAGGCAAGAAGCTTCAGCCACCGATGCTCGCACCAATCCCCGGTTTGAAACCAGGAAGGCAATTAAGGCAATTAAGGGAGCCGTGCTACGGCCACGTGAGCGCCTGAGTCGTTGTTGACCTGTCCATTTGAGATTTACGGGGCTACTCCTTCTCTTCTAGGCGAACAAACATGAACGACAAGAGGCACATACATCCCCTGTCGCATTCGTAGGAAGTCGCGACGAGCAGTGCTGCAATCGCGCCTTCCTCGGTCGAGTCATTCTTGCCACTGTCACACTTGTTAATCGACGCCCGTCACTCCTCTCTTTCACGAACACCCCCATCGATCTTTCCTTTCTTCTCGGCATATCCGGCTCCCGGCAGGTGCTGTCCTTGCATCTACCTCTTTTGGCAACTTTCTGATACCCAAACTTGCCTGACTTGGGTGGTTTCCCCTTGTCGTGAGCATGTTCGCCGGCATTCTCCTTCCGTCTGC